CAATGCATAGTAGTAAACAAGCAACAACATCATCCATTGCATTAATAATATAATTTAATACAAGTGTGTTCTGTTAAGTTTAATAGACACCAAAAATATGAAACAAAATAAAAGATGAGTCTTGAACGAGCTCCATCTTCTCAAAACCTGGCACCGGTACCTGTCTACTGGTGACCTGAGAATACAAGTTATTTTGAAAGAGTTTATCAGCTTTAAGCTGGTGAGATCATAAGTATTTTAGTGTCATTGCCTGTATGAAAGTGTTTGTATGTACTTGATGTATAAGTTTGTAAATGTTTGTGTATGTTTGTATATGTTTGTATCTCCTAGAAAATCCTATATTTTCTACTAAATGTAGCCTTCTACCAAGGCATCAAATGAAATGTATATTTGTTTCTTGTAAAAGTGTGTATTTTCCCAAGTATGACTATCATTAACCAAAAATATAGTTTTTACATTACTTTTCATTGTGTGAAGATCACAAAGTGAATGCAATGGGGAAATATAAAGTATTGTAGTGTTGTATTAAGTAACTACTGCTGTACTAATTACCTTAAACCAATTTGTTATTTAAAGTAACATGTGATATGCCTGTACCATACTACCGACTATAAACACGACGATGAAAGATGTCGGAAGAAATGACATTTGGCACCCGTAGACTTGCAAGTCCCACTGTAGCGAGCAGCAAGGTGTAGGATAGTCAATCTAGTATAGATCTATACACAAACTCAACGCTCTCCATTTAAGGAGATTCTGGATACAAAACGAGCCATGACAGGTGATGCCATGCCCCGTTACGTGGCTCACATAACTGTTGCAATGTTCTTGTATATGTATTGTATGTACTAGCTGTATTGTATGTTCTCTCTCTGTCTAGTATGTATGTATGTTCTCTCTGTTTCTCATAATAGTATGTTCTCTCTGTATGTTATCGTTTGTTTCTCGTTATAGTATTCTCAATCTGTATGTTATGTTTGTTTCACGTTATAGTATTCTCTATCTGTATGTATTGACTCATGTATGAACTGACTCATTGTGTGTTTCACTGTTCTAGTAATAGTATTGTAACTTCCTAAACTATACCTATTATAGTTTACTAGTAATGTTGTTTGTATGTATGAACATGTTTGTATACCTTTGCTACCCAAAGGTATTGAAATGAAAGAAGTAACTTTTATATCTATTTACATATATATAATATATAACTAGGATTCAAACGACCTTCGGACAAATAACCGATACCCTAAGTCCACAACCAAACAAGGAACAGGAAGCAAGGAGAGCTATCAGTCCTAAGTCCTTTCAATCCTACTTATATAACTATATCTATATAGATACACATTTGACAAAGTATAAGTTTAAAAGAGTTTGAATAAAAGTACTTAACATGTAAAAGAGTTTGCAAAACAATTTGAAGTAGTTTGATTGATAACATAGTTTGAAAAGTAAGAAATCCACTTGATTGGTAGTTATTAATCACATGTGATTGATATAGTAACTATAATAGTTCAACTTGTATCCCCCCCCCCATAAAAGCATTTAAAATCATTTAAAAGGTTGATTAATGGGTATGAACTCACCTGTAGTGAGTGGTTTGGATGAAAGTGCTAGATAGGATGCTAAGTGTCAAGTGAAGACTTGAGCACACACGCGGATCCTATTTAACATATAATGATACATATATGAATACAATTAGTGCTTATAACAACTAATTATTGAATTGGAACCACCTTAGGGACTAGTAAACACTTATTTTGAAGTGTTACAACCATATATGATTGTATATAAGGGGTATATGGCTATACAAGGGAGTGTATGGTCAAAATGCACAATTTTTGTGTGTGTGCGGCCAGGGTGTGCGGCCAGGGTGTGTGTGCGGCCGCACACTCCCTATGAAATGTGCCAAAATGTATTTTAAGGCTTTAGGACTCATCTAGGAAGGTTTCTTACTTCATGCTTTAGCCTTATATGGAGTTCATTGCCATTTTTGGACCTAAAAAGGGTGTGTGCGGCCACCATGATGTGTGCGGCCGCACACCCTTTATGAAGATGATAAAATCGTGTTTTTCTAGTATATCATCAAGTGTTCTTAGCATATAACAAGTTATGATAAGTGTATACACGTTATAGAGGCTTGAAAGGGTGATTAAGGTCCAAAACTAGTGTGTGTTCTTGGTGTTCTTGACTAAAGATGGATGTTTTCATGGATCAAAGCAAAGGGTTTTGCTAGTTAGGGTCGTGCATCAACAATTCAAAAGGAAGAATTACTTACTTTTATGAAGATCAAGATGAAGATTTGGATGATACTTGAGAGGATTTCGAGTTCTAGTCTTGAAGAAGTGGAAAAGTGTTCAAAAATGACTAAGTGTTGAATATATAGGGGAGAGTGTGCGGTTGGGATGGGTGTGTGGCCGTACACACAAGTGTGTGGCTGCACACTCCATATGTTGGAGTGTTTGGCCCGATTTTGCTTGATATGCATCGAGTTATCCCATTTCTAGGCTTCTACCTTGATGGTACTAGGTTTAGAACACTCAAATAGACTCTAAACAGTGCTAAAGGATAGCAAAACGAGTCTAATTTTGGTTGAATCGATCTATTGTACATGATAAAAATTTCAGGTTGTCACATTAGCCATATCACATAATGTTAGATTAAGAGAATGACAACCACAAGGAGTGTAAAATGCTCTAGGATTTATATCTAAAAATCTCTTTTGCACTCCTTGGTGTTTTCGTTTCATGTTTGCTCCGTTATCATAGCCTTGACCACGCATATCATCAATTTCAAGACCAAAAGAGTTTAACTCCTCAAGTGTAATATCAAATAGTCCTTTTCCGGAGGTATCATCAACATTCAAAAAACCTAAAAATGACTCCTCGACAGTAATAGAATTATATGATAACTTTAAATATCTCACTATTATAGTCATCTGTTCTTGGTGACTTGAATCGGGAGTACAATCAAGTATGATTGAGTAGTACTTTTCTTCCTTTATTGTCTTGATAAGTTCTTTTTTAATTTCTTGAGCTATCAAAAGTATTAGTTCGTTTTGGATCGTGTGCCCAAGATAATGCACATGAAGTTCGTCATTTGTGATCCGCCGCACATGCTCTTTGATAATTGGGTCAAACTCTTCCAACATTTCAATGACACCCAAAAGATTTCCATTACCTGTCAAATATATTTAACAAATAAGAAGTGGAATCAATCATAATAATTAACAAAAAGGTATTTGTTGAAATTGGAAAAAAATATACAATCTATAGTTTCCTTTTTTATACAACTTTTCATTTGATCCACGAAATGCTAAATTATGTTTAGCAAGAAACTTCACTACTGCAATGATTCGCAAAAGGACTTGTTTCCAGTAATCTCTTTCTTTCTTGAATTGCTCGTAATGAACTTTATCAATTGTTTCATTCAAGTTCAATCTTTTACGCATATCAAACCACTTATTCCTATTTGTGAGATGATCCAAGGAAATTTCGTGTTCTTTAACTCTACTGGTAACATGGTGCCAATCCGAATAACCTTCGTCACCTAATTTACCTTTAGAAATCTCTTTTCTAAACACTTTACAACAACAACAAAATACCTTGTCGAGATCTTTCGAATATACTAGCCATTCTCTATCACACTTCTCCAAATTTGGTAAAGTTCTTGTATATAAAGCTGTAGAAAATCGTCTACCAGATTTATCGTAGGGACCATACATAATACTAGTATCTCTTTTAGGACCCTTCTCAACCAAAAGTTTAAGCTCTTCATAATTAAGTTTTTCCCACCTTCTTGGATCACATATATCAACAAGCTCTTTAACAGGCTCTTGCTCTTCTGCATCTTCTACTTCTACTTCTACATTTTCTTGGTGTTCAACATGCTCTTCAACATGCTCTTCAATAGGCTCTTCAACAGGCTCTTCAACAGGTTGTCTATGAATAAACTTATCTAGAGCACCGATATCGGCCTTTCTTTTTTCTTATTCTGGTTTTCTCTTTTTACGTTTTTGACTACCGGATGGTTGTTTAGACTTCATCACTACAAGTTCATTACTTTCAACTTTTAATATTCAACTAAATACAAAAAACATAATCTAATAATTTGATTTCAGCATCTGATAAATTTCAACATAATTTCAACATTCAATCAAATAAACAATTTCAGATTTTAGATAATATCATAATAATCACAATTTCAACATTCAACAGAATTTCAACACTCAATCATATAATCAGAATTTTGATTTCAACTTAATTTTGATTTTCAATCAATAATCACATAAACAACATTCAATCTTAATTGAATTAGTGAATTTTGATTATGATTCAAGTTCAATTATTCTATAATGATTCAAGTTCAATTGCTCATCAATCCTCATTCAATTATATACTAATAAAACTATTAATATGATTATCTCAATAAATGAATAATCAATTAGACAATTACCTTATTTGAAGTTACGAACGATCAAACTTCGGTGCTTCTCTTCTGCCGCAGCTAATTGATAGTCAATCAATTAATCAATAATAAAATTGATGAATAATCTCTAAAGAGTAAAGCCCTTGCTGCCGTTGCCGACTTGTTGCCTTAATTTGTGGACTAAGAAAACTAAATTGATTTGGGCTAAGACATTAAAAAATGGGCTGCAATTGAAATATATTAAAAAAAAAATTTTTTTGGGCCCCTTTAAAAACCAGACCCTGGTTGCCCCCCTTACCACCGGCGATGCTACAAAGTCATATTGTCCGAAGTTGACCGCTGCATGGTGACCAGAAGCTACCCAGATGATTGTTGTCAAAATTCCGATTAGATCATTTGGTGTTTGGAGAAGAGGCCACCATGGTTCGTCTTTTTTGTCTCCATGTCCGACTATTCTGATCTCTGTCCACCATGCATGAAGCTTTGAATCCGATTCTACAAGAATCTCTTCTGGCTAGTAATGGTTGACATCTGTCGACCATTACTACCCATAAGAGAATCTTGTAGAATCAGATTCAGAGCTTCAAGCATGGTGGACAGAGATTAGAACAGTCGGGCACGCAGACAAAAAAGACGAACCATAGTGGCCTCTTCTCCAAAACACCAAAAGATTTAATTAGAATTTTGACAACAACTGGGTAGCTTCCGGTCACCATGCAGCGGTCAATTTCGAGCAATATGACTTTGCAGGATACATCCCAAACAGGACGACCATCGCCTGAGTGAAGATTCCATGTGAAGATCCTACCGATGTTGAATGATAGGTTTTTAAGTGTAGGATAGTCTTCAATGGTTAGCTTTAGACCGTGTGGCGCGAATATGAGTCTTTTACATCCATTCACCTAGCAATAAGGTCAGCTGGTAATGCTTCATGATCAAATCGCCATTGTTGACCATACGATTGAACTCAACTCAATGCCATACTTTCCTTGTGAAAAACAAGTTCGATAATTCCACCAGAATTTATGAGAGCTTCCCGAGCCAAAGCATTGATATCCATTGTATATTGGAAATGAGTGTGTAATAGATTATGTTTCGGGTGAATTTTGCTAATTTGCTATTGGTCACAATTATATATGGTTCAGTACAACAGTGTGTTGTCATTTGTGAACCTGACAATTTGAATCAGACTATCTTAAAAAAACAACTTTTAATAAGATTATGGTTCACTTCAAATCTTCAATAACGGGTGTGTGGCTAGTTACTTACTAGTGACTTACTAGTTGATGGTAACCACTATCATGAACAAGAGTATACCCTTTAGCAAGCTTCCATAGCCAATCACCTGTTGCATCCCAACATGGAGTGAATACTCGCTTCCATTGAGGTTTCCCATTGCCAGGTGGCCTAACAAGCTCGATTGCCGATGGTCTTAATGTTCCAGATGACATAAGAAACATCAGCGTTCTTGATCCGTTTCAAATTGTTCTGAAATTTTTTTGATCTCTAACTTTGTTTACATATGGAAGGAACATATCATGATAATCTATAATGAAAAGCTTCTTGTTCTCTATTGCCTGCATACGATGTAGGATTAACATGGTTGGTTCATTTTCACGTTAATTTATGATTTTTACATAGTTAATAATCGTACCTCCTCCAGCGTGCAGAAGCCTGTGATCGATCTCTTTTAAAATGATCTCTTTGGTTATTGCCGATTCAGGTGGCCCACACACCTCAGGATCAAGTTTGATGGCCATTCCTGCACATGCATTTTCATGTTTACTGTTTAGCCTTCTAGGTAGTTGCTAAAAAAGCCTCCGATTTTACAAAAAATGAAATTGGTTCAATTTTAACCCCTAGCCGGATACAACAGGTAACCCAACTGATGAGGGGATGAGTGGGCGCAGTTTGTATATCTTTTATGGGTTGATATACTCGATTCACTATAAACAATGCTCTGATACCAATCTGTCACACCCCAAAACCGGAACGACAGAAACGTTCGGGGGTGGAGGACGTCATGTACAGTATCACAACAATGCATAGTAGTAAACAAGCAACAACATCATCCATTGCATTAACAATATAATTTAATACAAGTGTGTTCTGTTAAGTTTAATAGACACCAAAAATATGAAACAAAATAAAAGATGAGTCTTGAACGAGCTCCATCTTCTCAAAACCTGGCACCGGTACCTGTCTACTGGTGACCTGAGAATACAAGTTATTTTGAAAGAGTTTATCAGCTTTAAGCTGGTGAGATCATAAGTATTTTAGTGTCATTGCTTGCATGAAAGTGTTTGTATGTACTTGATGTATAAGTTTGTAAATGTTTGTAAATGTTTGTGTATGTTTGTAAATGTTTGTATATGTTTGTATCTCCTAGAAAATCCTATATTTTCTACTAAACGTAGCCTTCTACCAAGGCATCAAATGAAATGTATATTTGTTTCTTGTAAAAGTGTGAATTTTCCCAAGTATGACTATCATTAACCAAAAATATAGTTTTTACATTACTTTTCATTGTGTGAAGATCACAAAGTGAATGCAATGGGGAAATATAAAGTATTGTAGTGTTGTATTAAGTAACTACTGCTGTACTAATTACCTTAAACGAATTTGTTATTTAAAGTAACATGTGATATGCCTGTACCATACTACCGACTATAAACACGACGATGAAAGACGTCGGAAGAAATGACATTTGGCACCCGTAGACTTGCAAGTCCCACTGTAGCGAGCAGCAAGGTGTAGGATAGTCAATCCAGTATAGATCTATACACAAACTCAACGCTCTCCATTTAAGGAGATTCTGGATACAAAACGAGCCATGACAGGTGATGCCATGCCCCGTTACGTGGCTCACATAACTGTTGCAATGTTCTTGTATATGTATTGTATGTACTAGCTGTATTGTATGTTCTCTCTCTGTCTAGTATGTATGTATGTTCTCTCTGTTTCTCATAATAGTATGTTCTCTCTGTATGTTATCGTTTGTTTCTCGTTATAGTATTCTCAATCTGTATGTTATGTTTGTTTCCGTTATAGTATTCTCTATCTGTATGTATTGACTCATGTATGAACTGACTCATTGTGTGTTTCACTGTTCTAGTAATAGTATTGTAACTTCCTAAACTATACCTATTATAGTTTACTAGTAATGTTGTTTGTATGTATGAACATGTTTGTATACCTTTGCTACCCAAAGGTATTGAAATGAAAGAAGTAACTTTTATATCTATTTACATATTATATATATATACTAGGATTCAAACGACCTTCGGACAATAAACCGATACCCTAAGTCCACAAACCAAACAAGGAACAGGAAGCAAGGAGAGCTATCAGTTCTAAGTCCTTTCAATCCTACTTATATAACTATATCTATATAGATACACATTTGACAAAGTATAAGTTTAAAAGAGTTTGAATAGAAAGTACTTAACATGTAAAAGAGTTTGCAAAACAATTTGAAGTAGTTTGATTGATAACATAGTTGAAAGTAAGAAATCCACTTGATTGGTAGTTATTAATCACATGTGATTGATATAGTAACTATAATAGTTCAACTTGTATCCCCCCCTAATAAAAGCATTTAAAAAATCATTTAAAAGGTTGATTAAGGGGTATGAACTCACTGTTGTAGTGAGTGGTTTGGATGAAAGTGATGGATAGGATGCTAAGTGTCAAGTGAAGAGTTGAGCACACACGCGGATCCTATTTAACATATAATGATACATATATGAATACAATTAGTGCTTATAACAACTAATTATTGATTGGAACCACCCTTAGGGACTAGTAAACACTATTTTGAAGTGTTACAACCATATATGATTGTATATAAGGGGTATATGGATATACAGGGAGTGTATGGTCAAAATGCACAATTTTTGTGGGTGTGCGGCCAGGGTGTGCGGCCAGGGTGTGTGTGCGGCCGCACACTCCCTATGAAATGTGCCAAAGTATTTTTAAGGCTTTAGGACTCATCTAGGAAGGTTTCTTACTTCATGCTTTAGCCTTATATGGAGTTCATTGCCATTTTTGGACCTAAAAAGGGTGTGTGCGGCCACCATGATGTGTGCGACTGCACACCCTTTATGAGATGATAAAATCGTTTTTGTTTTTCTAGTATATCATCAAGTGTTCTTAGCATATAACAAGTTATGATAAGTAAGTGTATACACGTTATAGAGGCTTGAAAGGGTGATTAAGGTCCAAAACTAGTGTGTTTTCTTGGTGTTCTTGACTAAATATGGATGTTTTTCATGGATCAAAGCAAGGGTTTTGCTAGTTAGGGTCGTGCATCAACAAGTTCCAAAAGAAAGAATTACTTACTTTTATGAAGATCAAGATGAAGATTTGGATGATACTTGAGAGGATTTCGAGAGTTCTAGTCTTGAAGAAGTGGAAAAGTGTTCAAAAATGACTAAGTGTTGAATATATAGGGGAGAGTTGCGGTTGGGATGGGTGTTGTGGCCACACACTCTTGTTGTGGTCGTAACACACAAGTGTGTGGCCGCACACTCCATATGTTGGAGTGTTTGGCCCGATTTTGCTTGATATAACTTTTAGGGGCGCCACCATTAGGGATGACAGGTACCTTTAGGGACGACATCCGACAATTCGCGTTTTTGTCGTCGCTAAAGGTCTCCGTCGCCGCTAATAGCGTGGTCTCTAAAGGGTTGGTACCGATGATCCGTGTGAATGCCTCCGATCAAGTCCTGGCCCTACGATTACATCTTGATCCGACGGATGAGGTTAACGAAAAAAAAATTGGCGCGTGTTTTCCCTCCAACGTGTCGCCGCTAATGGTTAAATCGGCGTCGCTAAAGGCGTCGCCCCTAAAGGGTGACCTTTTTGTTCCCCTCCAGGTAGCAGATCGCAGATCAGTCAGGTACCACCTCCACTCCATTTTCTCTCGTTCTTCCGGCGATTTCAACGCTTTTCCGGCGACTGGAGACTCGTTTTGCATCTTCCATCGACTATTAACCACCGGTGCACCCACTTCTTCAACCGGAGAGTGATTTCCAGCTCCTCACCGGCGTACCTGCTCCACCGGCGACGTTCTGAGTTTCCGACGTACTTCTCCACCGACAAAGGTTTGTTTTCCTTTCTGATTTTCCAACTTTTTTGTTTTTGTTTCCATTTTCTTTTTTTTTTGCTAATTTTATGCTGCTTTTGGTGGTCTTAAGGAGATTTCCCCTTTACAAACCACAAGCACCGCCAAACCTTGCCTGTCTCCGGTGAATTCCCAACCGCCACTGCCGCTATCTCCACCGTTTGCGACGCATTTGTCATCCCTAAAGGTTGCCATTTTGTTGTTGTGCCGGTTTAGTCGCAAAACTTCGACAGACCATGACTTCTTCATTATAAGTCGGATTTCAGCGTTCCTTATATGTACAGAATCATTGTGACATATACTATAACTTTGGTTAAAATCATTTATGATAACTAATCTTCTATCAAAAAGTCATTTTTAAAGTTTATATCTCTAAATTGATTAGCTCGAATCTGCGGACGTTACAGTAACCTACTATTCTGCCTTTCATATTGTTTTCATTTTTCCTTATCTTGATGTTTCGATTCCAATACTGTTTTGTAATGCTTCATAAATACCTACTTCAGCTTCATAAATACCTACTTCAGCGAGTAGTATTTTTTATTTGTTTTCCAATATATATATATATATATATATATTAGATATATATATATATATATATATATATATATATATATATATATATATATATATATATAGACAACTACAGTTAGGTAGTGTTTGTTTTTTGTCTGCAGATCTGCATGGCCTCTTCTGTCTGCGTCGCACAGACCACGCGCAGACATTAGCCTTCGCAGACTGATTGTTTTTTTGAAGACTGCAGACCTACAAATGTCTGCGCGCCCTCTTCTTGGCGCAGATGTGGACCAGAATCTTCTAACATCTTCAGACGTCTTCTAGCCTAAAAAAATATATATCTTTATTTTTTAAAGTTTTTTTTTTAATTTATATTTTTTCCAACTTTTTTAATGATAAACAATTTGAAAAAAAAAATTACAAAACTTAAAAAAAACGTTTGACGATACAAACATGATATTTTTGACAAATTTATAAATAAAGATTTATTACAATAATAGTCGTTGAAGTTGTTTATATAAATATGAAAAAAAATCATAATATATTATTATATTTTTTTGCCAAATTTTGTAAAACATTATTTAATACAATATCGTCAATTTCTCGAGAAAAAAATATTTATGGTACATTTTTAATGGATTTAATTGAAAAAATCGAAGTTTATTTCCATCCATTTATGTATAAAATTATTTGATCACTAATTATAATGTTTAGTTATAACTTTACAACCAAAGTTGTTGGTTTTTATCAAATATATACGTTAATTCATACCATTTTTATTTTTATTTTTTATACAATAATACATAAAAGTTGATCTAG